CTGTCCGGGTGAAAGCCCGCGGAAGAAGGGCTCGAAGGTTTGGCCCGCCTCGGCCGGCGGAGGGTCCCGCGTGGGGTTTACCTGGCGGCGGTGTGGCGTGGGGCGCCCTTCCCCGCATACGGGTTGGATATAAAAACTTGCGCTTTGCTTTTGAGTGGAAGCGTCCTTTTTTTGTAACCTTCTGAGGAAACTCAGCTCTCGCTTACACTGGGGTCGGTGCACGGGGTCTAGTAACGCCTCTGGGTGATCCCGCACTTCAATCCCTGCAGGAATAAAAGCGCGGCCTTGGCCCCGCATATTTTCCTTTAGATGCACCGGGCTGCCTGATCTCCTTCCACCCTAAGGACAGCTGATCCACGCAGCAGTAAAGGTCCATCCAGCAAGTATCCTGCTCCTGTGGGTGCTGAGGAAGAGTATAAGGAGAGGACAAGTCTACAGTGAGTGATATTTTGCCTTAAATTCTTCCAGCTTCTATGACATCTATCTCAAGAGCTTTTTGAGTGAGAGGGAGGGTTTGTTTGTTTGGGTTTTTTTTCTGTATTTGATTTTAACAGTCATCAGTGGACTCTTATTACATTACTTTGACCCCCTGAAGTTTTTCAGATCGAGTGGCAAGGAGATGCATAGTTTAACCATGAGGTGTGAGGAGAACCACCTCCTTTTGTTTGCTTTGGACTTGCTATCTGCTGCTTTCATTTATTACCCCAGCTTGTGTCTTGAAAGGGCCAATGAACAGTTCATGTTCTCCAGGCTACTCCTGGGTTTGTCTGTCCTATTCCCCATATTTCCCATCTATCTGTTTTTCCTGATGGGAAACACCAGGACTGTCTCACCTTTTGGAAAAAGGAAAAAAAAAAATCTGTAGACCTTCTTGAACCCTTCTGAACCACTGCCAAAAATATATATATGTTTGCATAAACACTGAGCGATCATTTGTTCAGTATCAGTGTGACTGTTCGTCATGAGCATGATTAGGCACAGCGCTCGCCCGGGTTAAAAGCAATGCTTTACGCTTACGGTAGCTAAGCTAGAGTGGGAAGTGCTGATGCTTGGGCACGGTAGCTGCTTGAATCGGTCATGCGGGAGCCAGTGGTCCTGCATCGGATGCTAATTTAATTAGGATGCTAATTTAACCGGTTCACCGTGCGGGTCGCTTTCATTCGAGCGAGGCCAGCCGTGGTGGGGTTCAGCCGCAGCAGCGCTCACACAGACGTTTTCATCCAGCGTAACTCTGTGCCGCAAGGAGAGGAGCGTGGCCACAGCTTGTTGCGTAGCTTATGTGCCGTTTCTAGACCGCAGCGCAGCAGGGCAGACCCCTCAGGCTTGCAAGCCACACTCTGGGAACTGCAGGGCACTCTTAATCTGCCGTGACTGAATGAGCCTGAATGCATCCTTCAGTTAAATGGTAGTCTGACATCTCTCCGGGGCTCAGCGTTCCCGAAGGAGGGAGGCTGAGATCAGCAGGTGGTACCATTCCTTGTGGTACCGTTATCCCCTCAGCCTCAGCTTATCCATCTGTTCTGTAGGACCCCAAGCCTTGCCCACCTCCAAGTCCCTCACTGCAGAGGTATGTATGAAGTGTGATTAGCTGCTGAAATCCTGCAGGGTTTGTGTTTTAGCTGTGTGTCAAGCAGACTTCCTAGCTGGATGCTCTGCAAAGCAAGTCTTTGGATGCTATGCATCCATGATGATTTGTTCTTTGAAGCGTGGCAGCTTTCCCTTTCTGTGCTCTTGTCTAGAGGATCGTGGCTTTTCCCTGCAGCCTTTCAGATAAGACAGCCGTTCTGTTCCTTCTTGTATGGTCATACCCCTTCAGCTAGCACCAAATTTCCCAAACTCGAACCCTTCCTTCTATTTCGGCTCATGAGCCCTGTGAGGCAGGACGTATGACCGAGACGTGTGTCTTAGCACGTGCCTTTTCACAGCCGCATGTAGTTGTTGTCTGAGGCTGTGGGATTGTGATGGTAGGGTTGAAGCTGGGAACTGGCCTGTCGTGCTTTAGCTGCAGCTGGTTGAGGGATTGCTGGCCAGGCTGACTGCCTGAGGGGGGTCCTGACATGAGAGAGACATAGGGAGATGATGTTGAGGATGCGTGTGATGCTACCCCCACAGTGGCATTTGGTCATGGAAAAGGGTGAAGTATGTATACGATGCTCTGCAGAAGGGAAATCCAGCAGGTCTGCAAACTGTAAGTCCGTGTTTGCTCCCTGCTAGGGCAGAGAGGTGATGGGTAGCTGTGAATTATGTAAGCAGGCTGCACTCCTGCTTTTATATCAGAGTGTGTGCGTGTGTTGAGGAGGGGGTTATACGTGTCGCAGACGATTCCTAGAAACACACAGACTCATCAGGCCAAACCACAAACCGTTACATATTTCCTCCCGCTTAGCCAGTAAAGGTGGTGTTTAACAGTTCCAACTTGCTTGTGTTTCTGTTCTCCAGGCATTATTGCTTTTATTTATTTACATTGAAGTGGTGCCTAGAGCCTCTGGCCAAGAACAGGGTTACGTCCCTCCGGCACTGCGCAGACACGAAGAGATAGCCCGTGCGCTGAAGGGCTGAACAACATGTTGTGAGTACAAGCAAGCAGCAGCAGGGAGTGGCAGGGATCGCAAGGAACTGTGATTGGGTCATGTGGTTGCACTTGCAGCTACTTGTACAACTCGATGATCGAGTCATGTACCAGCTTAATATTTAGCTACTAATGTGCATTATATTTCTCTCTCCTGGGGTCATTCCACTGGCCTTGAATTGCACTGTCCATGGATGCTAAATAAATTCCTTAAGAGTAGTAAACTCCCAGAAAAGCTCCTGGAGGTTGTGATTTGCAGGACTGAGCGTTTGATCTGTGTGTAACCATACTCTGTCCTTCAGACACAGACAGGAAGTGGTGGAAGCTAGCTCCCCATTGGTTTTTTTTTTTTTTTCAGGGGCCCTCAGAACCGAGTAGGGATTTACTTACGTAGGGAACGCAGCACAGCCAGCATCCCTAGAGGGCCTGATAGTTTTGGCCTCCTATACATGCTCAGATCACTTATTTCACGGGGACTCTGCCATCTAGTCCTTGCTTTTCATTATTAGGAGCTTTGTAGCCCCCTGGAAGGGTAGCACTGCTGTCCTCGCAAACCTTGAAGCTCAGTAGGCGAGGCCTTCTGACTGAATTGGAGGAAGTCCCAGATGGGGGCTTGGGATAGCAAAGACCTTCAGTGCAGGGAGCTCAGACCTCACAGCTCTAGGTGCTGGCACAGAGCTGCAATCTCTCTGGCAGCCTGCTGTATGCCTGCAGCAGCAGCAGCGATGTGCATGATTTATATACATTTTTTTCTAATGACTGAAGCTTTAAAATCCGCAACCGTAAAGATCTTTTTGTGCAACAGGCTTTTGTGGACGACAACATTCTTGCAGCAAAGCGAAGGAGCCTCAGCCTGTAGGCTCTGGGAGATCTTCTGGCAACTCTCAGTATCTCTGGCTTTCACAGCACACAGCCAGTTTTGTTTGCTTTCTCTGCCTTCAGGCAGATGGTTCCTGGGTTGTCCTGTCAGTAGATCTGTCTCAGTGAGAAAGGATTTGGTGGTTTGTAAAGGTCTCTGTGCTGGTAGGAGTTCATGTCTGCAGCAGCTCTGCACCCAGAGAATGAAGACTCATCCCATCAGTGGGTGCTGGGACTGTGAAATAGATGCAGTGCTGGGAAAAAGCTATCTTCTTGAGGATTGTAATTAACTCCCAGCTGCAGAAGAGTATTTCCTAGCTTGCCAGCTCTGAAGCCTTCTGTTAAAAGTTATTAGTAGTTCCCCTGACTTATTTCACCCCTATGGTTGCTGGGGACTCTGAGGCAGCTGTTTTGTCACTGGAAAAGGAACATTACAGTGGCCTGTTATAAAGCATGTTATGCAGACAAACTGGCCACAGAGCTGCTGTCACTACATGGTGTGCACACAGCTACTCAGGTGGAAGGGAAGGAGGATACTATATCCCATGGACATTGCAGGAGGAAGTTTAGGAGGTGAAAGTAGGATGCAACTGAAACAAATTGAGATGCCCATATGTGAGCTACTTACCTCAGGCTAACCCTGCTCTTCTTACAGTGAATGAGAAAAATATAGGCACTTCTGGCGTGATTCATCTCATTCTAGTTTTGGCATGTGAAATAGGTCAGCTCAGTCACACTGTCATACTACCTGATCCTCTCCAAGGATGTTGCCTGGGCTGACTGGCTCAGATACGTATGTCTATGCTGTAGAAGTCTGAGGTTAGGTGAGAGGAATCCCCTCATGAAAAATAACCACCTCCCTTGGCTCTGGCAGTGTTTCCCGCTTAAGCAAAGGTCTGAATGATCATGAATGGTCAGGCCCTTGGGAGATGCTGGGGCTGCTCAGTGTTGCCAGTCTCCAAGCTAGGATTCTAACTGACTTTTTCTTAGGTGGTTCTTGAGAAGTCAGATTGGTGGAGTTTCCTCTGGAAGTGCATTCAAGGCTTGCAATAGACCACATTTGTCACACTCACCGGCACCCTGCTTATGGCTGAGGCAAACAAGCTGAAACCTGGATATAGCCCATGCAGACCAAACGCCCCACTTCATCAGTGGTCTCTGCACGACTGAATACAACAGGCCAAGGACTAGTCTCTGGTTTTAGGCTAACTGTCAGGGTACAGCTCGTGTCCGTATGCCTAAACTCTCTTCCCCTATTCAAACAGGGCGGTTATGCCCAAATTGCCTATCAGGAACAGTCCCTGGATGGTTGGGCCAAAACTGTAACTGGGAGCATGCTGACAGTGCAACAGCCTGGGTCAGACATAGGTCATTGATCAGGAGCATGCCTTCATCTTGCTATGTTGCTGATGTACTCAAAGCCTGTAAGTCTGAGGGCTCTACCTGGCCAGTAGATGAACAGAATGCCCTGGGATCTCAAATCTGCCCAAAAACTCAGAGTTAAAAAGAAAGCAATCGAGCCCCAAAGGATTGGGGTCTGTGTTAGTTGTAGTACCTGGGAAAAGAAATTGGTGAGCAGAACTGGAAAGCGCAAACAGCAAAGGTTTAGTGAGGTCAAGAAGAAAGGCTGTGGGATATTAGCTTAATCTTAAGCAATTTTTCTTAGGAGAGGGTTGGACTTACCAAAATGAGGAGGAAGCTACTGCATGATCTCCCTCACCCCATATGGCTCTAGATAATGATCTAGAGCTAACGTGAGAGTGGGAGTAGCACTGCGCAGCTCCTGCTAAGCCGCATGATAGTTGTATTCAAACCTGATGGCAGGGACTGTCTCCTCAAATATGAGCGTACAGCAGCTAGCATGATGGGGAGATACTTCTTGGTCAGGGTTTGTAGATGTTGCCTTGGTATAAAAAATTACTACTAATATTTTTGCATTTGCCTAATGCTGCAGATGATGGGGGCGGGGGTTGCACTCATCTAGCGTGTTAGCTATTTTATCAGTAACATCACCAACTTGTTTAGGCACAAAGAAACTAAGGCTACATTTAACCTAGTAAACCAGGAAGTGCCATGGTGGAAATTTAGTCACTCCCTTACTGTTAAATTCCTAGTAGGATTTTGACCTAGGCCAGCTAGTACTGACCAAGACCGTTCCCCAGCATGGTTGGGAGTTGGCACAATCCAAGGACTGTTCCTAACAGACAATTTGCATGTGACCACTCATTTGGAGGGACCAGAGAGAGCAACAGTATGGAAGTGGCCAAGCCAGCCCAGCTGGCCTCAGAACGAAGGAACAAGCGCTGGGTGCTGCTCAGGTTGCTAGTATGGATATAATCTGCAAGGACTCAGCACTGCAAAAATCAGACCACTGCATGTGAAGTCTGACTTGAGGTTTACAGGGTTTGGGCTCTCACAGTAAAGCCAGCAGCCTTGTTGAGTCTTTGGCCTCCTAACTTTGGAGAGGGATTTCCACTGTTCCACTTTGATCACCCCAAACACCACAGGACCTTGGGAACTCTCCTGTCTTGGTGAGATGCTGTGAACCCCCTTGCTTTCATGGAGCGGCGCACATTTTGCCAGCAGCTTTGTTTTGCTCCGTCCCCGCCGCGTCCATTGTTCGTTGTGCCGGCTCCACTGTTCTCATCCCCTGGACCTGGCCCAACACACAGACAATGCCGAACCGATGTCAAGAGGCTGCTTGCTGCTCAGCACACCCGAGCTGGCTGCTGGCCTGTTTTGCTTCCGGGCCATAAATTGTGGGAGAGCTGACATTGCTGTGGCTTCAGTGGTGGATCCTCCCATCTCTTGTCATCTTGGATGGCTAACCTGCCTGCATCATGAGACATTGATTTCCTGACATGCTTGGACAAACCCTGCTTCAGCTGCATATTCTCTCTGCTCTCTGCTCGCTCTCTGCTCGCTCTCTCTGCACATACAGAAAGGTAGAATTTGGGCCATTTTCTTTTATATGAAATCTTCCACAATATTGCCCTTTCTCTGGGCCCACTGCAGGCTTAAGATTATTTTCAGGCTCGCTCTTCAGTGTCTCTGGTAACTCACATCACATCACCTTTTTGCTGCCCAGAAATATCACACAGCGGTACCATGATTCAGTTATCTACTATGTAGCAGAAAGAGAACTGGCATGCTGCTTACAAGCATCTAGGAAATAGAGTTTACTCTCTGATCTAAGCCTGACTTGACTGGAAGATATTCCAATCCAATTAGAGGTTACGTCTGTTACTGGTGCCAGTCCTGAGGCTGAGTGCCAAGGTCTGGCCCTGCTGATGCTACTAAATGCTCTTAGTTTGTAAAACATCCAAGCTGCCTATCGGTATTGGTCCTTGGCCTGTGCTGTCTCTTACCCAAAGATGGCCTGATTTGGTGCTAGCTGGCCCAGGTTAAAGCCATTCCAACACAATTTAGCAGTATGGACAATCAAGTTGCTGTGTTCCAGCCTATGCCATGGCTTTGCTTAGATTATTAGTGCAGATGTGTCTAGAGTATCCTGACCTGTGCAGAATCCCTATTGGGTAGTGGTTATAATATACCTTTGGGCTGATGTAGATGTATCAGGGTACATCAGTGTGCTGGGGGAAATAAAAATGTCCTGTGTGTTGTATTGTTATGTGATCCCAGCACTGCCTGGTCAGGTGTGTTAGAGCAGCGCATCAGGTGCCCAGTATCTAGTTCTCATTAGGCAGATGAGGATTTGTATCCCAGTTTTGTAGACTGGGAGGTGGAAGTATTGTTTAGGTGAGGAGGTGTGTGTTCGTAGCACACTGTATCGCTGATCTCATCTGTTTTGAATGATCTGAGGAGTTCAATTTTAGACGAGTCCTGGGCACTTGGCCCCTCTCTGGTTGTGGGGATTTCTGCTTCTCTAGTGCTGGAGTTTAGGTCAGTCCTTCAAACCCTGCTGCCTGCTAGGGCAGGGCGCTTCCCTGGCATAAACCATCGAATGTCACCTCTTCTGGTAGTACAGGGAGGCCAATGGGTTGTGGCCTGCTGTAAAACCAAATAACTCCCGGCAGTCTGGTCTGTGGAGAGGGTCTGAGCACTGCACATGTCTCATGCACAGGCTGTCGCAGCTAGGAGGAAGATTAACATAACAGGTTTATATACCACAGGAAAAGGAAGCTGATACCGAAAGTGTGCAGGAAGACCTGCTATGAGCCAGCATATGGTCTTCTCTGAGTTTCTCAGCTCTGGACTGCAGCCTTTCCAAAACACCACACAGAATGGGATCAAGGAGTTTGCACTGGGTTTCCCAGCTGTTCTTTTAAAATATGTCCCAGATGCTTTAATTATTGGAGGAACAGTTTGTGCTCAGGTATATTTAATTAGGGAGGACTAGTTTCCAGGCAGTAGGCTTTTGGGATGGGGCTTTTCTTCTGAATCTGAATAGGGTGCAGCGCTGGCTCTTCACAGAGTAGACCATGTCCCCAGCAGTCACAGCCTGCTACTGGCGTCCTTGGTGGAGGTGGTAGCATCCCAGGTCATTTTCCAAAGACACTTTGAGGCCCCTGCGAGTTTTCTTGTAAAACAGCCCAAGATGCACTTCACACCCTCTGCAATAAGTCAGGCAGTGGATAGCTAGTTTAGTTAGACCTGGGTGCTATATCATGGGATCTTTCAGTGGCCCTTAGCGTGCTCTTCTCGGAGCCTTTAACATGTTCACCTCTGCTCTGATCCACAGAGGTGTTTGGGCTCTTACCTCCTGCCACAATCCCACCCTCTCTGCCTCCACGAGCCTGGCCCAAAGGCCACAGTGGAGGACTATTTCTGTTCCTCAGCTTGAGGCCAACCTGGCAGACACTCAGTTTCCATCCCCTGATGTCTATGTGAGTCCCTGAACCTGGCTTCTAGTCAGCACCTTGCAGAGGAGAAGCCGTGGTTGCCTTGGGAGAGCCGATTGCCACCTTTCAGGCCAGCGAGCTAACGGCAAGAGCCCCTGCTGTTCGCACCCGCTTCTCACCAGGGCTGGTTGAACGTGAAGAGGTTACTGCGTCTTGAACAGCATCCGAGTGCCAGCAGTTTGGACACCAGAGCGACGTGTCTGAGTGATGTGCTCCATTCTGGGGATCTGGCAGCTGCCCGTTGCATCTGCTGGAGCTTCATGGTATGTCTCTGAGCTCCTCATTCAACTGTGTTTCAGCTGTAAAGCGGGGAAATGGTGTAGATGGAGGTGACAGTTTGCAGGTTAGGAATTACGATCATCTCTTGATAGTACAAAAGGAAGTCAAAGCTGTCTTTGCTAAAACCTGGCTGCAGTCAGGCCAGGAGTTTGGCCATAAACCCTCAAAGAATAGTACAAGCTGTGCCCATCCTGAGTTTTTCTCCCTGACCACGTGTGTATTCTGGACACCTCACTTTCTTCCAGCTCCCTATCTCATCACTGTTTGGCCTGACCTAAGTGTGGCAATTATTTTTTTTCTCCCTAACTGACTGTAGAAGCTTGGGCCTGGCTGCCCTGGAGAGCAGCTGAGCAGAGCTGCTCTTTTCCATCCTGATGTCGTAGTAGCTGGGGCAGCGACGTTAATCCCTGGCAGGAAGTGGTCAGAATAAAGCCCTAGGCCTCAGAATGACCTGTGGTCCATCCAGGGACTTTGCCTAGACACTGAAGAGGAAGCCGGTGAGTTGTCAGGGAAGATAAGAAACTGGCCACTCATTTCCCTGTTGTCCAACTCCCAGAAGAAAAGAATTAATGAATTAATCACTGTGCGGCTCTCAAAAATGGCCTGTTTTCCACTGCTACCAGATCACTGGTCACTGTTATTTTCATGCTGTCCAGCACCACGTTTTTTTAAAAGCGGTGCATTTATTAAAGACTTCCCCAAGGCTGAGTCGCCCAGTCCCGTCTGCTTTGTTTACAAAGAATTACTGCCTTTCTGGAAGCTTATACTGCATGTGTAAGCATCTGAGGCCTGAATACTATTCTGCAAGCAGATATATCACATTGGTACGGTGTCAGTTGCAGATAGTTAATGCTCAGGCCAAATTGGTGGGAAAATCAGCCCTACTTACTTTGTAGGAAATTTTCTCATTCAAATCCCTCCATTAGACTGTGACTAAAAGCAAAAGGGCTGGGAAAAGCTTGGGTTTCCAATTACTTTGTTTGAAAGGGAGAGGAAAATTGGAAAGGGATCATTCTTCTAGGCGCGCATTCTTATTGTGGCTGTAATGATACAACCTGGCTATAATCCACTCCCTCTTTCTTTGCAACTTGGTCCCTGAACAAATGATACTTGGTTGCTGTTAATTGGGAGCAGCCAAAATAACTGAATCCTCCGGAGATCGGGGTGAGGACAGAATCTCAAATAGATGCTCTGCCAATGAATGTGGCTTTCAGCCGTTCCTACGCCCCCATGAAAGGAAATGAATAGAAGCTCTGTGAAAATGAAACAGCCAGTGCTGACCTTGATTTTTTTTTTTCCTCTCTCTTTTCTAACGTTAATTGCTCGTTGCTTTGTTTATCACATGATCGCTGGAAATTGCCAACTTGTTCTCACTCATTAATGTCACAAGCTCTGTTTAAAATAAGCAGTCTACCAGGTTCTTAATTTAGTGCTATTTATCTGGGTGTCAGATGTGTTTCTTGTGATTTCAAACTGTTATTTTGAAAATGTCTGACCCTCCTTCAGCCCTTAAACACTGGCATTTTCTAGCTGTGTAAGCCTGCTCGGAAGAATCTCTCCCATCTGTAGCTGTCAGAGAGATCAGCAGTGTTTACCCTCTCACTAGCTCTGTTCAAAGGTGATGCTCAATGTATATGTTGAGCTCTCTGAACCTTGGCAAAATCCTGGCATGAGCACACAAGCTGAGACCAGCCTGTGCCTGGTACAGAAGCTGCCTGTCTCTCGTATTCTTGTTAGCATGCAAGGCAGGCACGCCACGCATGGTGGAAAGGGCAACGTGCTGTTTCCATCGGTATGCATCCTTACGCCCAGGTTTGATTGCAGTCTTCCTGTGTGTCTTCTGATTTCCTTTTCCCTTTATGGCTGGATTTCAGTGTGTTGCTGCCTCTTTTTAGGAGGTCACAGCCTTGACTCTGCTTCTGTGTAATTCACTTGCCCAGCAGGTGATTTCTTTGCTGAGCCTCTCGGTGCCATATCCGAGCTGTTGTTCAGTTCCTGGTATTTTGGGACGGCAGCGGTCAGCACTAGCATTTGGCTGTTTTCTCTGAGAGGTGGGGAACTTTGGGATGTCCTTTCTCCTTGTCTCCTGCCCATTTGGATGAGATCAGCTCTGAGTTTCCCTGCTGTGCCCTGAGCCAAGTGCAGACCGCTTTGGAGATTCCTTCCCTGTGTGTCTGGGAGGGAGGGATACCCTGGAGATTTTGGGGTAAATTAGCTTCCTGTCCCCAACCCTGCAGAGGTTTTGAGGCTCAGTACTTAAAGGACACATCTCTGCTCATAAACTAAACATGGTAGCCCGTGGCACACCACTGTTTACACTACTAAATTGTTAGCGTGGTCCCTGCAAGATTTTGACTAGGCCAAGTAGCAGGTCCCAGACTATGTATGTTCAGGCATGAACATGGAGGTTAGTCCAGGCCGGAGATTATTCCTCGTAGGAATTTTGGATGCGGCCACTGCATTTTGGGAAAGAAAAGAGTTAGCAGTATGCCGGAGCTGAGTCATGCCAATTGGCCCTCAGTCCCAGAGAAAGGGTACTTAACTCATCTTTTTTGGTATTATAGCCAAACTGGCTGCTGACATTGAGTGAGCTATAAAAAAGGACTTACACTCCCAGCTCTAACTTCAGTGCCTGAATACCTTTTTGGAGCTGTCTTCCAACATCCTGCTGGGATGAACTGGCAGGCAGATTCAGCACTGAGCCACCTGCAATGAGCCCAAATCTGTGGACCACCCTTAGTTAAAGGGAAGCTGGGAGACGGTGAGCCAAGGTCTAAGCTGCCATGCTTGGGTTGTGGGGAGGTGGAAAACATTATGGCACACAAAGAGACAGGGTAGAACAGCTTAGGAAACACAAAACACTTCAGAGTCTATGCTTGCACCTCTGCCTAAGGCAAAACTTATGCATAAGGCCTAGAGACAGCAGAAATCTTGCCATTGCAAGGAAGGAGATGCAGACAGCATGAGAAGGAGCTGCTGTTTGTGCAATGGCCACTGGTGTCCCAGAGCAGCCAGGTGGCGTTTGTAATGCCTGGCATGGAGTTGGGGCTGTACAAGATGCACACAGGCCCTTTGGGACCCTGTCTCTGAAACAAGGGTGCTGCTGCTGCTGCAAGGAGGTGGGTCATTGTGGCTGGGTCGTGGCAGTGTGGTCAGAGTTTTGAGAAATGGTGGTTGCCATAACCAAGACTGCTAGACAGGTCAGTGTCCCAGAGGGAGATGGATTTTTGCAGGCCTAGTAGTGCCGGGTGCCTTCATCTCTGAGCAAAGGAACAACGTGAGACCTTCGGCATAGCACGTGGAATGAGATTTAGGAGTCATCTTGGCTGTTCACCACTCCCATTGCAAAGGCAACAATTGCACACAGCTCTTGAAAAGCAGTGGAAGGAAGGAGAAGCAAGTCCTGTTCTCCAGAGGTCTGCAAGGGACCACACCACCTATTTAGGTGGAGTTTTGCAAAGCCTACCTGAGGACTGCCGATCTGACCCTGGCTGGTGCTGAAATTAATTTCACCAGCTTTAGGGATGCTCAGGCTTTTTGTAGAGGATATCCATAGCAGAGAAAAAGAAGATCCCCAGCACGCAGTCTGTGTTACTGCTGTCAAGCCCGTTACCCACTCTTTTCACCCCTCCTTACAATTGCAGCTTGCTAGGACCCAGGACCAGGCAAGTCCAGCACACTACTACTTGTGTGAGAAGGGTGCCAGTCTGGCTCAAGTCTCTCCACTTTTCTTTATGCAGTTCTGTTTATGTCAGCCATCCCTGGGAAGGGGAATGAAGTAAAAGCCTGGTGCGGAAATGGGTCTGCGTACACAAAGCCCTCCCTTAGCCTCTTTGACTACATGCAGACCACGAGATTAAACATTGTCTTGGTATAGACGCATCTATTAAATCTCCCTTGCATTATCCTTCCCACCCTATCGTGCTTAGCACCTAGCCAAGTTCTGGCCAGATCGTCCAAAGAAGATGCAGGGCAACAGAGGGTGAGAAAAAGCGTTGCATTGCCTTGGGTGGTCTCCTTGCGCGGGGTTTACTGTATGCTGTAGCTGAGGTCTAGAATAAGTTAGATGAATGAGCCTTTTTCCTCCATCAGCCAGAAGAGACTGGCTCAAATGTAGGGGTCTTACAGTAGAATTGAGGAAGGGGAGTGTTGCCCATTTTTCATGACATCCCTTCCTAGGAGCACCATCCCAGAGTCAAACTGCCTTCCCAAATTCTGGCATGTATCCTTTAGTGATACACAAACCTACTAAAAAAAAAAAAAATGCATGTCCCATCACAGAGCTAGGCCTTGCAAACCCTCCTGAGAGAAACAAAATCTCTGTGAATGTGTGCAAAGTGAAACCCGCCCCAGAAAGGGCACTGTCTTCTGTGTGGTTTCACTGTAACACCTTCAGTCTTACACATCTGTGCAGCTACAATATCATTTGCAGGGATCATCCTCTAGTCCACCTTTGGTTAGTAAGGCAACTACATCAAACTCAGCAGCCAGATTCCCCCATGACAAAAAAAGAAAAAAAGGAGGAGAAAAAAAAACAACCCTAAGAGGTACTAAGGGTGAAAGCCTGGAAAGCGAAGGGAGAGAGAGAACTGATTGGAAGATTTTGCAACTCTTAGTTATGACAACCCCCATCTGCTAGAATAAGGAAGTAACATGAAAATGTTTTGTGCGTTGGCAGAGGCTTTGGGTTGCTAGAGGAAGTGAGACTTGCAACCTCTGGTTCAGAATCTGTCCTGACTTTGCTCTTTGTGGTATCTCACCCTGAGACTGTTTGGCAGGTCCCATCTCCCTGCTTTTACTGTCTCTCGATGTTTAACAGCTTCCCATCCTCTGTATCACCAGTCTAGTCAGGAGACACTAGGAGCCACACTCTGCTCTCAAGGTCTGACCAACCTCGTGTCACGCACCTGCTTAATCTGTTCCTCTGTCCCACCTCTGGCAGCAGCTGGTATCTGATGCTGCAGAAGAAAAATAAGCCGTTTCCCACACTCAAAATACTTATTTGCATTTACATATTCTTGACCCATCTCCATCTGTTATCCACTGCAGTTCTGGTTGTGTACATGTAAGCTCAGGAGTCAGGCCCGATTCTGCAAACATGTATGTGTGACACAAATAACCGCAGCCCTGCAGATTCTGGTAGGACTTCATCAGCACTGAGTTGAATTCATGCATGGGTATCCGTGTGATGATTGCATCACACTTTTTCTGGTATGGCATAAGTGCTAGCAGGTAACAGGTATATCTAGAGTGGAAGAGAAACAGAGTATTGGGTGTGAATTCAATGCTATGAGGTTTTAATTAACCTCCAGCTAGTAGGATTCCTGCGTATAAGGGCAAGTTCGCCCATGTGCCTGCTTCTGAATTTGCCACACGTCAATGTGTGAGGAGAGGGAGAAGGGAAAATGCTTTATACCGCTTACAACAATTTGCTGCAGTCGGCACCCTGAGGCCCCCCCAAGAGGGTAATAGCTGAGCCTGAAAGCACCAGAGCTGAGTTTGGAAGAGGTCATTTGGAAGATTTGGGAGCTGCTTCCCTCGAGTGCAAGCCTGCAGAGCCTAGGAGGGCTGCACACATACCCTAACCCCTAATTCTGCCTGCAAAGGCAGCCCCGAAGCCCTCCTCCTGGGTTGCCCAATGCCCTGGGGCATTGCCTAGCACCGATCTGGGGGTGGGGGGTGAGGAAGGGACTGCTTGTGCTTTTGCTGCCTCATCCCTGAGTGCCAACCTGACTGTGGGTGGTTGGTGATCCCTGGGAGCTCTAAATCTCTCCAGCCGGAGCTTAGCAACTCTGGAGGTTGCCAAGGAGCAGAGCCATGCAGGCGGAGGAGTCTCCGGCACTGGGGTTTGGCTCCTCTGAGCCTGTCTCCAGGATGGGAGCCTTGTATCCAGGCACATCTTAAAAACAGGCGGGAGGCCCCTTATCCACCGTTCCTTCAGCATGTCTCTGTGGACCTTCCCAAGGCTTTGGTGCCGTACCCGAATTGCAGCCAGCTCTGATGCAGAGCCCATCTTTTCTCCATCACCTCCCAATCCTACTGCCTCTTACACATGACGAACTGGAGGGATGAGGGCTGCAGGTTTGGGACTATGGACTTCTCCCCTTTTCCCCCTCCCCCACTCATTGCAGCAGCCCTGGGCATGCACCCGCTGAGCAAATGGTGTGGGCAGGGACGCCAGGCTTATTTGCAGCCTCTGCATTTTGGCTGAGACCCTTCCCTCTTTACTCTGGTTCACACAGGCAAGTTATCCCTTGGATGAGTAATTATACCCGAGTTTTGTCCCTGAGCAGTTTGTGCTAGTTTGTCCCCTCCACAAATCATCAACTCTGTTCTTTTTCTTGGCATCTAACTGCGCCTTGCACCACCTTACTGGCAGCGGCTGGGGTAAGGGCACTGCTAAACACCCTCCAAGGTCATTGCCCGAGGATGTGGGGAAAAAGGGCAGGCTTGTGACATTCCTGTGTCCATCTGACATAGCCATAACTGCAGGGACAGGGCTGTGCCGTCCTTTTCCATGCTGAATTTGGGTCTGCCAAGTCCAAAAAAGACCCTTGATTCTAAGGGCAGAACCAGCATCCTGATAGCTCCATGGTTCACCCTAGCCAGGAATGGCAGCGTGCTCTTTCCTGGCGCATCATCATTAACAATTTCTCCTTCTTCCTTCCCTATAGGGCACAAAGGCCACATTCCCCAGTGCCAGGCTCCCAGCCGCAACACATAGCGTGATGACTGCCATCCTGGAGCGGATAAGCACGCTGTCCCTCAGCGGGCAGCAGCTCAGCCGTCTCCCCAAGCTGCTGGAAGATGGCTTCCCAAAGATGCCTTGCACTGTCAAAGAGTGTGAGGTGCCACAGCTCTTCCGGGAACCATACATCCACACTGGGTACCGTCCCACTGGCCAGGAGTGGCGGTACTACTTCTTTAGCCTCTTCCAGAAGCACAATGAGGTGGTCAACGTGTGGACTCATCTCCTGGCAGCTCTGGCCGTCCTGCTGAGGTTCAAGACGTTTGTGGAGGCTGAGCAGTTACCAGTGGATGTGTGGTCCTTGCCTTTGCTCATCTTTATCCTGTCCTCTGTCACCTACCTGACCTGCAGCCTCCTGGCCCACCTCCTGCAGTCAAAATCAGAGCTGTATCACTACACCTTCTACTTTGTGGACTACGTCGGAGTCAGCATCTACCAGTATGGTAGTGCCCTGGCCCATTTCTACTACAGCTCGGACCAGGCCTGGTACGACAAGTTCTGGCTTTTCTTCCTCCCGGCAGCTGCTTTCTGTGGCTGGCTCTCTTGTGCTGGCTGCTGCTACGCGAAGTATCGGTACCGACGGCCTTACCCCATCATGAGGAAGATGTGCCAGGTGATCCCAGCTGGGCTGGCGTTCGTCTTGGATATCAGTCCTGTTGCACACCGGGTGATCGTGTGTCACCTGGGAGGCTGTGAAGAAGATGCTGCTTGGTACCACACATATCAGATATTGTTTTTCCTTATCAGTGCTTATTTCTTCTCCTGCCCAGTCCCTGAGAAGTACTTCCCAGGATCCTGCGATATTGTTGGCCATGCCCACCAAATCTTCCACACATTCCTGGCCATCTGCACTCTCTCACAGCTGGAGGCCATATTATTGGATTACAAGAATAGGCAGGAGATCTTCCTAAAGAGGCATGGGCCCCTCTCCATCTATCTCACCTGTGGCTCTTTTTTTGGTCTGGTGGCTTGTAGTGCCATCACAGCTTACATTCTGCGATGCCGGATCAAGGCCAGTCTGGCTAAAAAGGACTGCTGAGAGAGTCACGAAGATGATGGACATGACTTCACCTGGCCAGTGAAAACCAGGAAGAGGGGGATAATATATTAGAGACATCACTGGCTTGTTTGCCTAACACGCTCTGACTAACCTGGACCCTGTGGACTGGGGTGGAGGGCTGCATACTTAATTCTGGATGCATTTTCACAGCAGGGGCTGCCTTCTGCTGTGCAGGGGGACATGGAGTATTTTAAACCAGAACAAGTTGCTTAACCAAGGATGCTAGAATAGCAGAGGTTTCTTGTTCACACTAGTAAACCTTCAGGGAATGTCATACTGAATGTCAGGGAAGGCAGCCTGAGGGCTGTGAGACGGCAGAATGGTCTCCTGGGGCTCACAAAGTAGCAGAGAACACATCTTGAGGATCATGGGTGAATGTGACTACCTGTCTGGGTTTTGCCATCTCTGCTGTGCTTGGGGGGACCCTATTACCATTGAAGGCAGTAGCAAGGCTTCAGGTGGAGTTAACATTTCTGGGGTTCAGCTGCAAGGGTGCGTGCGATGCAGTGCCTGGATTAGTCCTTTGTGCTCCAGCTAGGTTAAGCCAGGTTATCTCTACATTTACGCTTCTCAAGACCTCAGTGCCAAGTTGCTGAGATGGCACTGGCAAAGTATATTTGCAGACCTAGGCCTGACGTAGAGCCCTCTAGGATGAACTGAGTCTGAACCTAAGCCCTGTGTTTGCTGGCAGTTGGTGTGGATCCAGCCATCCCTGGCACAGGTGGGGATTTGAGGTCAACTCTGTCTTCTCTTTCTACGTGATTGCACCGTCAATAGAAGAGCTACTTAACAAACCCAGGGAGTCAGACAGTCACAAAAACAGCAAGGTAGGCCCTTTCTCAGTTGTTTGAATTTGGCCAGCTTAGGGGCAATACTGCTGGCAGTTTGGTAGCCTACAAGCCAGCTCCTTAAAGGCTCCTCACTTCCATTTTAAGTGCTTAGCAACTTTTGAGGAACTACGCCTGTGTCTTGCAAGGTGGAACTGGTTCTCAGAGCCTTCTTCAGTAGCGAAGTATTTCTTCATTGGCAGAGACTGAGCACTCCTAAGGCCCTCAGCCAGCATTCAGGGCCCTGTTACCCAGAAGGGGAGACAAACAGGTCATGCTCGGTAGATTTCATGTGGGTGAATCATTTTGGCTGCCCGTGTGATGGGTTTATGCACTCCTGCATAGACTGACTCCATGTTGTCTGCCTAGAGAGTCCGACTGGCCTCCCTTGTGGTCAACACAGTGTAGGTGTGATCTTTCTGATACAGGCAAAGCTCTGGGCCCTGGGCCTCCAACAGCCCTAGTATGGTCTTGGCCAAAAGAGGATGATGGTGAAGTGGATATGACGTCTTAAATTCCCTCTTAACCATAGGAAAGGTGATTTTCAGCACTCTTGGCAGTCCTTAGCTGGCCTCATGGGGAAGCTCACCTTGAAGCTGCAAGGTTGCACTTCTCTGACCTATAGGACTGTGAATCTGCCAATGCTGATTTTTATCAGCATTAGATGAAGGTAGAAATTAAATAGTCAGGGCAGGGGCAAAGAAATTGAGATTGAAAATGAGCTATCTGTTCTTCCTTCTATTAATCCTGCTAGTGCCCTTAGAGTCTCTTCTTGTGCTCAAGGCAGGATTTTCCTGTGGGCAGGTTTCTCTTGCACTTTCTCCATATACAGCTCCTTACTCATGTCCATGGGACAGACAGAGCACAAAAGCAACAGCTGTGCACTGGCAGGGGGGTTAGAGGAAACAGCAGAAGGCAGGAGCAGGGTGACAGCAGGAGTCTTATTCAGCATTAGGGTCTTGTGTAACCTTAGGATGGCTTTGTCCTTGGGACTTGGTGTTTTCTGTGGGGCGTAGCAATGATAGCTGGTCAGGGACACTTCATGGCCATGGGTCACTCCTGTCCAAAATGTAGCAAGGGTTGGTTTGCTGTGTCCCCAAGTAGACGAGTCCCCTTTGTGCTTGCTGATAGGAATTTCAGATCTAGGAGCCCCATTGTTGCATTGAAACTGGTAATACTTTCAGGGCTGGATGCTCAGAGTTGAAGCAGCCATATGGTCCTAACCAGCCTAAACACCTGCTGTTCAGCCCTCGCTTTCCATGGTAAACCTTGCTGTGGGTCCTGCCAGCTGTACCCTATGCAAGACCTGCAGCTTTAAATGCCTTCACATCAGGCCAGTTTCCAGGAGGTGTAAATCTTTCCTAAAAGCAAAGAAGTTATGAGATCTACTCCAGCCACAGATTTGTCCCATTGAGTCCAAGGATAGGCAAATGAATCGTGTTTGCTGGTACTGGGCAGGCAGAGTTTAGGGATGGGGATATGGTTTGTCATGACAAGCACTGACTTCTGCACTTGATCTGTTTTTTAACTACTGGAGCGTGCATGTGTGCATGTGTGTGTGTGTGTGTGTGTGTGTGTGTGTGTGGATGGTTTAATATTTAGAAAGGTCTTGTTTCTTCTTTTTTATCTGTAGAGCTTCCTAGCTGCATCAGGATCAGTCTGAAGGAAACAGTGCCTCGATGATGGAGAAGCTAGGGGGAGCAGACCACAGGATCTCTGAAAACTAATCTGTTTATTAGGTGGTTTGTTGTGTCGTGTCTTGTGGACAAATCTGAAACTCATGTCATTATTGACAAATTAAATGCAAAAGTGGGGGGTTATTTTTGATTACAGGAGGTGAAGTCATAGGAAAGACTTCAAGAGGTCTCTTAGTCCACCCCTTCCTCTTACTGTCTGCCTCCTGCTTCACACCTAGCCCAGCTAGAAGCACCTAGAAGTTGTTAATGGCTCAGTTGCCTGCAGTGTATTTTTGACGGTACAGCCACATTGACTTAACAGAAAATTGCCAGGGAAAGGGACAGTCCCACTAACACCTCCTCGTGCCTCTTCCCTTGCACAGAATCTCATTTGACCTCAGAGTGAGCCAATGCAGGGAGATGGACCTGCAGACAACCACCTCTAGTGAAAAAAAGGTGACTAATTTTCTGCTGGTTTTAACTTTCAGCCAGCTCACTTGGACAACACCACTGCCTGCAGGGAAGGGTTGGGTACACAAAGCTGAAGCGGAGGCAAACAGCAGTTCTTCCTTACAACAGCAGTTGGTTACTTGACTGTCTTAGCTGATGGACTGCCCCCTTCATGGTCTCTGCCACTTTACTTTTGGGTCTCCTCCCAGTTCAGGGAATGACTTCCAGTGGGAGCGTTATTTCTTCTCAGAGACAAACTTGCCTTGCTTTTGCAGTAGTTTAAAGCAAAAGAAGCCACCTAGTGTGGATCTGGCTGGGATAAACGGGTTTCTGTGCAGGAAGGGGAGTAAGCCGGGCTGGTCCACTGCCCCTTTCTGTGCTAAAAATGAGAAGGAGAGGGCATTGCTGCTAATAACAAGCCCTGCTCTGCTGCTCACCTAGAGTTATACTGGTACTGAAGGCAGGGATCACCCAGGCCTTTCCTTCTCTAAGAGTCTGAAAATAGTTAATATGTCCTGTCCTAGGCAAAGGAGGATAAATACAGCAATGCCATCCAGTTCCTCTCACTGGGAAGAGGAGGTGCCTTATGGCTCTTCTGAGGTGAGAGGCTGCTCCTGGCATTTCTGGTCACACCATGTCATCTCCTCCCTGGTCTAGTAGAAGTGAAACTTTGGCCAGAAAGAGAACTTTCTGGAACAATTCTGTGTGTGATGGTGGTGGTGATTTGACCTATTCCCATGTTACCCCTCAGGTGATGCCACCCGTGTCCCCATGTGACCCTGCACTCAGACCTGGAGCTGACCTCCTGGTTACTATGATGGGCTGATGTAGCAGGGAATTGCAATATAGATCGCTGCTGCTGTGGGGAATGCACCTTTGTGTCACAAGAGGCTCGTCTACACTGGAGCTTCCTCCATCCATGTGTCTTTCCTCCTCCTCTTCCTCCAACCACTTAATTTATTTTCCTCATCCCAAGAATTTATCCTTGTGCCTTATGCACCTGGCTGCCTACCTGTGCAGACTCTGTATGCTCTGCAGTCTGCTGCATCTCACCTGGGCTGGGACTGGAAGGTGGCTACCAATGCCCTCCTCAAAGCTGTGCTGTTGATCTAGGGGAGAAGACCGTGACTGCGTCCTGAGAGAGTAAAAGTGCTGCTGTGCTAAACGCTCGGCCCATCTGAAGGCATCTCAGGGACTCGTGCTTTGGGCTCAGGGCCTGGAGTGCACCTTCTTCCATCCTGGTGCTCCTCTAAGGAGGCATGGCTGGAAGGCATGTGACCAGCTGCAGGGGTTTGGTGGAGAGCTGACCACCAAAGGCTGAGCACTTCTGAGAGTGAGTCATGAAGGGACCAAGGTCCTAACCCTCTCCCGCAGGAATCTCCAGTCCTGCAGTAGCATTTTTGCAGCTCTTGTAGCCCCAGATACGTACCGGTCAGCTCCTGAGAATTCATCCCAGCGTGCCTTATGCTGTTCCCTTTTGGGATTCATCCTGTGGGGACCCCAGCTAATACCCACTGACAGAATTTGCTTGGTATAAGGAGCAGACGAGGAGGATGGAAAGAGATGCCTTAAACTTATATTTACGCTGATTGATTTGTGTAACAGGGCAAGGACAGGTTCCTCCTGTGCCTTGCTATTTACATCTTTTACTGACAAGATTGTTTTTAAGCACTGTTTGTTACTAAACATAAGTACAAAGGCATTTGTATTTTTCCCTGGAAAACAGGGAAGAGTATGAGTGTTACGTATTAACCATTCTGTTCCCAATCCCCATTTGCTGACTTTGTATTGTTGAAAACATTGACAATATTTTAAGCCTTGTATTGCACTGATCATTATTTAAACTCCTCAGTGAAAATAGACATGTGTAAAAGCAAAATGATTGGTGTGGTGTGAAATGCACAAATGCAAAACTAGAGAAGGTTTTGAGTCATTAGGAAGAAAATTTGGCCTTTTAGAGTAGGAGTGGGTAGTAATTATAATTAACAGTAGGGTGCAGTTTTTATCTGTGTATCTCCAAGCATTTTCCAGGCTTCACAGTAACTATGTGATTATCATTCCCTTTTCACAGAGGAGGTGCAGAATGACTGCCTTGACACTGATTACAGGGATTAAAGGTCATCATCTGCAAAAGTATTTTGGTGCTGAGTTCTCCTTAACTTCTGTTGGAGGCAAGTGTCTAAATGTCTTGGTGGGCCTGGTCCAGAGCAGCGCAGCTTCAGTGGCAGAGCTGTGAACACAAGTGCCACTTCAAGCAAAGCATTTCGGCACATGTTTAAAATAAAGCAAAAAGACATGACCAGCAGAAGCGATATCCATCAGTTAGTCATGGGCCTACATGAAACAAGGCCAGAGCTCCTACTCCTCTTGCCGATAGCTGTGTGATCGTGTACGTACCCCATCCCCCAGGATATACACTCACTGTGAATTTCAGTCATCTAAGAAATTTGCAATATTTCCTTCTATGACCATCATACTTACAATTTTATTTATAATTTTGTAATATAACATGCAGATCAAGACTTAGGTACTGTCATGTTTTCAACCACCAGAGGGCGAGATGTCTTCGCCATCGGCGGCTACAAAAGGCCTCCAGTGCCACGAAAGCAGAGCCTTCAGTGCTAGCTCTCCAGACAGGCTTAGGAAAAAATGCTCCCATACAAGCAGGCATCCATCCAACTCTGCAGAGACATGCATTTCTGCACGAGGGATGTGCTAGAGTCTGGCCCTCTGGGTAAGTGACAGGGATTTCACCAGACGAGTTAGGCCCCAGTTTTATGTTTCCATAAAATAAAAACTTTAGAGGAATGGGAGAAAATACCAAAACACAAAAATAGGGCTGTTAGCTTTTTTAACTAGAAATTAAAATAGAGATTTGTGGTATGCTGAGAAGAAACTGTAACCGAGTAACCGAGGCAGTAACACCGAGGTGTTACTGTTTTAGAGAATGTATTTATTAAATGTCCTTCATTATTTAGTATTACACACACATATCCTTGGTGCTTGAAAAGATAGAGCTGATTATTAGCAGAAGAGGCCAGAACTGGCTTATCCCAACTGCATGGAGTCAAATACAAAAAGTAAAAGCGCTTCCAAAGGAGAAGAAAAAAGCACTTTGTTTCAGTCATTTCAGATGTCACCACAGAGGCGAGGAATCAGATATTGCAGCAGTTAGTTGCCTCAGAAGAAAGACCTTGATGTGGTTATTTTACCTAATGAGAAAGCTTTATTTGGTCTTATCCTTGCAGCTCAGTGATAATGCAGTCTAAGCAGCTGAGTGTTAGCAAACAGCTCTAAATGAGACGTTGCCTTCTTTGTTCTGCTAAGCAGCTATCAGAGATGGTCTCAATGACTAGGTCAGGGGAAGAATTATTCCCAGTGTTGCCTGCTGCTCCTGTTGACTTCAGAGAGAGAAGCGGAGGCTTAACAGCCCTGGAAAGCAGGATTGTACATGCCTCAACCTCTAGGCATGCTACCTGCTGTGGTCTTAAATTCTGCAGCTGTCCCCAGCGTTTCCTCATCCTTTATCTTATCAAAACACTTTGCTTTGTTCTGGTTGAAGATGAGACTTACTCTCGATCCAGAACAACTCCCCTAGCTCTGAAGAAAAGAGCACTACACTTAGCTGGGGCACAGGAAAAAAGCAACCCAAACTTGTATTGCTTCTTCAGGGTGTCTGTTGGCAAATGAGACAACGAAGCAGTCATAGCAAGTAGTGTAGGAGAGCAGTCTGATTTGTGAATCCCTGAACAGTTCAGTAGACATGGGGACACTCAGGTAGCAAGTCTGAGGTTACTGACAATAAGCCTGTGTTTCTCAGTGTCTTTTAACAGACCCACTGGAAATAACCCCTGTATCCCCAGGACTCCTCAGACCACAGGTGGGGCATATTGAAACATCATCCACTCTCCTTGCAGCAAGGGCATTCATAGGTTAGATTTTTTTATTCCTATGTATCACAGTAGTGTATATACACATCATAGCACATTCTTTGCTCCAAAACATGTGACTTTTAAACAGATAAGGGATGGGAAAGCTTGCTAAAGGAAACATTGTTCCTTTTCCCTTTTACTAAAAAAATGTTGGGATGTAGGAGACTAAAGGGGCTCATCTTAAGCCTGACTTGCCTGTTGATATCAAAGATGCAGCTGAATCCAGATTTTGTGAGTTCCAGTTCAGTTCCTTATTCCTCATTTCTCCTCTCTCCTGCCATATGGCCACTATTCCTACCCTAAGAAAGTATCAGTTTCTGCTATGGCTTTCCTTAATCTTCCGCTCTCCATTCACATCTCCCTTAAAACACCCAGGAGGAAAGTGCTGAGGCCACAGTCTCCTGGTCGTGTCCCTGTTCACGTCCAGGACCTAGGGTCTTCCTTTGTGACCCTAGATAAGTCCCTAAGCCTCGCTTGGGCTTAATTCCTGGCTCACGCAGGCGTACAGCAGCACTTCTTCCCCTTGCAGGGTGCACGCAGCGGCGCTCTGCCACTTTGCAAGGCGTTGCTGCCGTTTCCTTAGAGGATGATGCTTGGCCCACAGAGACAAACTACAGTCAGCTGCTGCGGCCGAGGAAAAGGTGCTCAAGAGCAGGATGGTTTGAGCAGACGCTGGCGAGCACAGAGAAAGGAGACCGCAGCATCCTTCCCTGGGCAGGGTATTGGCTCTTGCTAAGCTCAGGACGCCCTGCGAAATGGTCCTTGGACACCGCAACAAGAGAAATAATCAGCCAAAGAGAGAAGTGAGGTCCCAGCAGCTGCATCCGAGCCAGCAGTCCCACAGCTGCTTGCTGTCTTTCAAACCCCGCACTTTCCGCACTCCTTGGCCTTCAGACTCTTATTTTCCTTTCTAAGTTCATCGGGCCCGTTCCTTATCTCCCACTGGCTGCTCTTCTCCTCTCTCCCCCACCACAGCCAGAGAGAGGATCCAGCTGCATCTCCCACCGCTTGGCTTCTGCTTACGAAACGCCCAGATCCCGCTGCCTGCCCCGGCACCGCAGCCCGGCCGGCGGCGGGCACTGGTGACGCAGACACGGAGGGAAAGAAACGCAGACAGCTCTTTTCCCCTCGGTGGCTGACCTGCCTCCCTCTCTCCTGTGGTGTCGAGGGGCGATTTTTGCGCAACAGCCCTGTCCACGATGGCCCTGCTGCTTCCTCCTCGTTCCTTCCGAAAGAGACGAGCACAAAAAGGAGGCAGCGCATCCGTGCTCGGCTGGACCGAACCTGCTGTTCCCCAGCTCATACTGCGATGTAGGTACTAAATCAACGCCCTTAATTTACCGGGTTAATATAATTCGGAGCGTCTCAGGCACGGTTGTGGCCCTCCATGCCTGCTCCCCTCCCTGGCCGCAGCACAGGACAGGGACCACCCCAAAAAAGGGCGCCTGGATGCCACCA